GATACCTTCAACCTACCGAGAGCCCCGCCACGAGAAGAAACTCAGCAGCAAGCTGTTCTTCGTTCCCGAAGGTATCCCCTCAGACAGCGGCGAACAATAGTCAAGATGCAAGTCGACCCCAGGAGAACAAGCTATTAAAAAGGGGAGGAGTGTTGGGGATGTTAGATCCCAAAAATTCGCTTGATAATGCCGTATTTTGGTTTTCACGTTTCGCCAGCATGGGCTGATCAAATGAACTTGAGATTTCAATTCCCACCAGGAAAATCAATGGCTGTGATTGGCTACAGTGTATTTTAGTATGCTATTTTCTTAACTGTCTCAAGGACGTTGTTATGTTGTATAAATAAACGAGAGTTGTATGCTTGATTGTACTGGGATTGCTGGGTGCTTGTAGAATATACTTCTACGCCTACAAAGTCTTCTATTTCGATTCTGGGATTCAGGGTAGCCTTCGTGGAAGCTGGTAAAAGTCTCGTTCGCGTTTATCGACTAAGGTAAACCCGTAATAGCCTCAAGCATCCTAAGTGCCGAACATATCAGTGGCGACGGGGCTCACAATTTACAATGTCAATTAATCTTGAACAGTTAGAATCTTTACTGGAACGTCAAGGTAAACGATATGAACAGTTCCAGGAACGTATGTTGGAGCTGTTAATGAAACAAATGAATTTGAATCACAGAGGTTTTGCCGATGATTCATATAATCCGCATACAGACTCGATAGTTAATTCCATTCATGAATTTCATTTTGATGGCCTTGCTGGTGTGACTTTCGAGTCTTGGTTTAAGAAGTATGAGGATTTGTTCAAGGTCGACCTCAACAATCTTGATGACGCCACCAAAGTCAGAATCCTTTTGAGAAAGCTCGGCACAATCGAACACGAACGTTATAGTAATTTCATCCTCCCAAAGAACCCACGAGATTTCTCTTTTGATGCTACAATTGATACGCTGTCGCAAATCTTCTCTGAACAGTCATCTCTCTTTAATATTCGTTATCAATGCCTCAAAATAACCAAGTCAAATGAAGATGACTGGGTAAAGCATGCTGGCTTAGTAAATCGTGAATGCGAACGATTTAAATTATCATCAATGACGGAAGATCAGTTTAAGTGCCTTGTGTTTGCGTGCAGCTTACAATCTCCCGACGATGCTGATATAAGAACCAGAATCCTAAGTAAAATTGAACAGTGCCCAAACATCTCGCTTCAAGAAATAACTGCAGAGTGCCAGAGATTAGTAAACTTGAAGCATGATACCTCCATGGTCGAAAACAAGGGCCTCTCATCATACGTGCATTCCATTAGTGAAAAGAAAAATTCCAATTCGGCCCAAAAACCCAAAATGAATCCACCTTCTGCTTGCTGGCACTGCGGTTCATGGCACTATGTACGGAACTGCCCATTTAGGCAGCATAGATGCAGGAAGTGTAAAGTCATCGGTCATAAAGATGGCTTTTGCCTACAGAAAAAGCCAAAGCGATCCAGAAGTGCTAAGAAGCCTGTTCCTAGATCCAGTACCAATGCATTGAGCCTAATATCTTCCTGCCAAAGCTCATCACCAGGTGAGAGGAAATTTATTACTCTTAATATTAACGGTTATTTGTGTAGAATGCAAATAGATACTGCATCTGATGTCACTATCCTCTCACGCAAAAATTGGACCAAATTGGGCAGCCCAAGCCTGCAGCACACAACACAAAAGCCTCGTACAGCATGTGGTAATTATCTTCGTCTGTTAGGACAATTGGAATGTAAAGTTGCTTTCCGAGATTCGTCGTTTACTGGGGTATGCTATATAACGCCAGCTGATCTAAATTTACTTGGTTTAGATTGGTTCGACCAGCTAAAATTGGCTGATGTCCCGCTAAATACCATATGCAACCTGGTATCACAACGACATGACCCAGAAGCGTATACGAAGAACCACGCAGAATGTTATCTGACAACCGCAGTTCGCGCATTACCGGTGTCTGCAACAGACATACAAAATGCTTCTAGAAACGACCCCATCATCAAGATGACGATGAAATATGTCACTAACGGTTGGCCGTCGAAAAAGTTTGAAGGTGACATGAAGCAACTGTATCAGCGGCGGGAGTCACTATGCATCGTCAACGATTGTCTGATGTTTGGTGAAAGAGTAGTGGTGCCGGAATCCCTTCGTGCAAAAGTGCTGAGACAGTTCCATCTTGGTCATCCTGGGATTAAACGAATGAAGTCCATAGGCAGGAGTTATGCATACTGGCCTCACATGGATCAACATGTCACAGCGTTGGTTGAAAAATGCATCCGGTGTCAGCAGGCGGCAAAGATGAATGCCAAAATTCCGCCGGTTTCATGGCCCAAACCTGAGCATCCTTGGTCCAGGATACATGTCGACTTCGCTGGCCCAATAAATGGAACTATGTATTTAATTGTCGTCGACGCCTTTTCTAAATGGCCGGAAATCAGCCCCGTTATGCCGCCCACTACAACTAAGACTATACAGCTCCTAACTGAAATTTTCTCACGAAATGGCATACCAGATGTGATCGTATCCGACAATGGCTCTCAATTCACCTCTTCCCAATTCCAGAATTTCTGTCAACGGCTAGCTATTAAACACTTACGCTCGCCACCATACCACCCGCAATCGAATGGGCAGGCGGAAAGGTTTGTGGATACGTTTAAAAGAGCACTGCTTAAGTCAAAAGGGGAGGGGACACCAGCCGAAGCGTTACAAAATTTCTTGTACGTCTATCGGACAACACCAAATGAATTGTTACCGGAGCAAAAGTCCCCAGCTGAAATCCTGATGGGAAGAAGATTGAAAACGATCCACAGCCTGATGCATCCGACTAATGCACCCTCATCAGTAGAGACAAAGCAGCAAAGACAATCCACTTACGAAGTAGGATGCCCTGTGTTTGCCCGCGACTACAGAACGAACCATGGTCCTTGGGTAGAAGCGAGAGTGGTCAGAAGGGTTGGTCGAGTTATGTACGAAGTAGAGGTAGGAGGTGATAAATGGTCACGTCATCGCAATCAGATACGCAGACGGCTAGCCCCAGATCGCCTATCAAGAGCAGAAAGCCTTCCCCTTGACATCTTGCTTGATACCTTCAACCTACCGAGAGCCCCGCCACGAGAAGAAACTCAGCAGCAAGCTGTTCTTCGTTCCCGAAGGTATCCCCTCAGACAGCGGCGAACAATAGTCAAGATGCAAGTCGACCCCAGGAGAACAAGCTATTAAAAAGGGGAGGAGTGTTGGGGATGTTAGATCCCAAAAATTCGCTTGATAATGCCGTATTTTGGTTTTCACGTTTCGCCAGCATGGGCTGATCAAGAGCCCCAGTTTG